TTTTTCGGATTTGGACTCTTTGGTAATTTATCAGTCTTACATTGCACTTTGTGAGATTAGATTCAGAACCGTGACATGAGTCCGAACTATAGTAGCTAAGAATTACAATTCGCGCCTTCGCGCGCGGCGCGAAGTTCCCGGCGGTCTACACATGCCATGCTCCAAAATCACAAGTTTTATTTCTTTGAAAACAACACATTTGCAATCATCTTTAAAAGACAATTAATTATCTTGATAAATTCCAAAACTTAAATGTGGGGTGGTAAATATGATTCAGGTAATCAAACACTACCAATTCCCACTTTATCGGTTCTTAATCGGAAGACACATGGTACCTACTCCGCGCATATTTTTGGTCTTTAACCCTGGACACTCAGGCCAACTTAAATAATACCAATCTACATTCCTTATCCGAACTTACCAACGTATTTACTCCAAAAACTTTTCAAGATCATCAATAGTTTTTTGAAAACAATAAAACAATTTCCAAATCGTAGCCATAATAATCAATATTCAAAGCTATGTAAATGAATGTATGTATATGCATTTATCAACATCTCATAACTTAATAATCAATAACCATATCCATGTAAAATATGATACAATCCATATTTACAATGCTATAAAATTTCAAATTTTTCCATGATCCAAGTCCATTTCTCAACAAAAATTCACCCATTTCATAGATGATTGAACAACATAACAACGTGTGATTTTTCGTCAATAATTTCAATATTTCCCCAACTTTCAAAATCTAGGGTTTTCACCCAAAATAAATTTCTTACATTATCAAGAGGTATTCTAGTCAATGGACTTCTAAGAGTCAAACATTTCTCAAATAATAATCAATTTCATAAGAGGGAAAGGAAATACCACTTTTTAAAACACATTCAAAACCCTTACTTAAATCCCGATGCATAGCCCATAGATAACCTCAAGAATATGACTAGAACATCCACTACTAAAAAATTTGACCTTTTGCGACAGTCTCAAATGTTGCAAAAGGTCCACATGTCGTCGCAAAAAAACTTTTTGCGACGGAGTAGTGACAGGAAATGGGGGATGGCAGAAGGGGGCGTGACAAAAGGTATTTACGATGGTTACAAACCGTCACTTTTCTTGTAGCAACGGTAAATCAATGGTTTTTGCAACGGTTTAACTTGACACAAAAAGCGGGGAAAACATCACTTTTAGCTACAGTTTAGGATGTCATCACCAAAAACTTTTTTAGAGAGGGTAATTGACGTTGCGAAAAGTAATATTAGCAACGGTCTTAAACGTCGCAAAAAAAAAAAAAAAAATTAAATCAATAATTTTTTATATTATTTTACTATTATTCTTCAAAAAATAATACTCTATTTTGTTCTAAGTTTTCAAAAACATTTTTGTTAATTTTAAAATCTTATTTATTTATTTTTTTGTTTTTAATAAACTTTTTACATATTTGATCAACCTTTTATTTTTTAGAATCACTTAATTTAGATATATTTAAAAAGTAAATTATTTCCCAAAAATCTTTAAGAAAATAATAAATACAAAAAAATATGTATTGAATTTTTATATTTTTGTATGCTTTTTAAGTGCATCTAAATTAAGTGAATCCAAAAAAAAAAAAAAAAATTGACAAATTACACTAATAGTCCTTGTACTTTACCTCTTCTGTCACTTTGATCCTTGTGTTTTCAATTGGCTCGATTTTAACCTTCAATTTTTTATTTTGTATACTTTTAGTCCAATTGTTAACATCGGTTAAAATTGTTGACGGAAAACAAACACGTGAGACGCACATGACCTTTTTTCAAGGGCAATATGGACATTTCACTTCCCTTTCCTTGTTTCACCATCTTCTTCTTCTAGGACTATCTGCAACAAAATCATCTACCACCGTTGGCTTCCTCCACCACTAAAATCATCCATATCCAATCCCAACATCAACACCATCCACCTCTACCACACCAAAACCCCACTTAATTTCTCTTTCACAACCTTCACAGAGAGAGAGAGAGAGAGAGAAATTAAGATCAGTTTTTGTTGAAATGGGTGATGAGATTGAGAAGAATCTAGAAGCCAAACTGAACGATGCTATCAAAGAAGAAGCCTCAACCACACTCCCTCTCCTAGAAAAAAATAGCTGGCATCGGCCTCTCTACCAAGTTTTAGAAATAGAAAGAATCGCTCCAACCCACCACCACCACCGCCACCACCACCGCCACCGCAGCACTACCTTCAACCGCCGCCAAACTCAGCCGAGAGAAGCTTTACAATGTCAACAATCTCTTAACCGAGTGGCACATGCAAACAAAGAATGTAATTTCCACTTTCAAGTTTGCTTCCAACGTAGATCGGGGGTCAACCTTCAAGACAAAGACCACGGCGTGGCTTCGAACCAGGTACAACAATAGGAA